TAGCACAATCTTCTATCAGTTTATCCAGTAGCACATTCCTGGAAAACTCAGTATATCTTAAAACTATGCTGCACATGTAAGGCAGTAAGGTTTTAGTCTTGGAAAGTTATAAACAGGGTTTTCAGCTACATGAATTGTCGAGTGGGACAATTCAAAGTTGTGAAGAATGAAGGACCATTCTTTGTTGTGTAGGAATATCCTGGATATTGCAAGATGTTTCATACCTTTGGCACCCCCCCTCCACTAAATTCCAGTAGAATCTTCCAATCATTGTGGTAAGAACACTTCCCACCCCCAATTTCCAAAATATCCTCTAAGAGGCAGTACAACTCCCATTAAGACCTATGGTTTTGAGGATCTGCTGTGATCTCCTAATCTTCTAATCCAGATGTCATTCTTGTTATTTAGAACCTTTGACACTAACCAGCCTTCCTTGACTTCCTTTCCTCCCCTGGCTTCTGTGACACTTCATGCCTTGGGCTTTTCTCCTCTTTTTCACCCAATCCCTGTCCAGTGTCCTGATCCGGCTCCTTGTTCTTCACCCGCCCACCTGTGCGGATCTGAAATTGGTCCCTTCTCTTTTCCCTTCTCTTCTCTTCTTTGATGAAAACTTTAGCACTATGTTCAGACAACTAGTTCCCAAAGGGCTCCTTCTGCGGTCCGCACACCCATGTTTCCAACTGCCAGCTGGACCTCTCAGAGTGCGCCCAAGTTAACCATGTCCAAAGTTAAAATGGTCTCCCTCCTCCAAGCCTGTTTTTCCTTTGGCCGTATCTCTTTGCATTAATGACATTGTCCACTTGCTTAGCTAAACATGGCGGCCGTGTCGATGGCTCCTTCTTGCTCCCTGCATCTGGTTGGTTGCTAGGCTGTGTCCCCTGCATCTGGTTGGTTGCTAGGCTGTGTCAATTCTTTTTTTTTTTTGAGACAGAGTCTCACTCTTTTGCCCGGGCTAGAGTGAGTGCCCAGGTGTCAGCCTAGCTCACAGCAACCCCACACTCCTGGGCTCAAGCGATCCTTCTGCCTCAGCCTCCTGAGTAGCTGGGACTACAGGCATGCGCCACCATGCCTGGCTAATTTTTTCTATGTATTTTTAGTTGTCCTGTTAAATTTCTTTCTATTTTTAGTAGAGACGGGGTCTCGCTCTTGCTCAGGCTGGTTTCGAATTCCTGAGCTCAAACAATCTGCCTGCCTCTGCCTCCCAGAGTGCTAGGATTACAGGCGTGAGCCACCATGCCCCGCCCTGTGTCAATTCTTAAAGAAGTGATTGGAGCTGATTATTCAGAGGCAAGATATGCAAGAGCAGTGCTGATAAAATCAGTGCCCTGGAAGGGGCCATTCTGATCCCACCCTTCTCATCTTTTATTTTATTTTTTAAAAAAAATCTCTGGACTAGCCTAATTTTTTTTTGGATCCTGGGCATACTGCCCTGAGCTAATTTGTTTGCCCGAATTAATTATCAGCAGGGGGTGACAGCCTCATTTTCACAGAAGCCTTCTCTTTTGGAAGGGATGCCTTTTTATTCAAACAGTCCGATTTAGGCTCCTTGGCACGGAGTGTAAAGGGTGCCTTGACATTTCCATAAAGGCATTTAAATGTTACCGTCTCTGAAGAAACAGTTTTAGAATACGAAACCTTTATCTTTTTTTTCCCCCAGGGAAGAAAAACATCACCAGCTTAATTATTTCTGTAAAATAACTTCCTCATTTGCTTTTCGTGGTGCTAGTAGAAAAAGATAAGGATATTGTTTTCAAAAAACGAAAACAATTACAGGTGATGTCATGAAACTTGCTTTGGATTTTTGCGTATTTAAATAACACCTCAATTTAGAGGTCAAAGATGCATGTAGTGTTATATGTTATCTTTCTATGTTGATTGTTAAAAGATCTGCTGGGAGAGCAAATACAATTGAAAAGATGCTGCTGGTAATTATTACTCCACACTAACCTCAAAAAGGTTCTTATAATTAGGAGAAAAAGCCAAAAGACACTTAACTCTCTATATAAATATATTCATTGTGATTAAAAAAACATACAACTTGAAATCTACCTTCTTAACAAATTTTAAAGTGCAATATTGTTTACCATATGCACACTGTTGTAGAGCGTGTATTTAGAACTTATTCATCTTGCATAATTGAAACTTTTCCCCATTGAATAGCAGCTCTCCATTTCTCCCTCCCTGCAGACCCTGGGCAACCATTATTCTACTTTCTTCTTCTATGAATTTGACTACAGCGTGTCCCAAAAGTCACCATACATAGGGAAAATGGGAAATTGTAGCTACATGTACCTTAGTCACCTATGTATGGCAACTTTTGGGACACCCTGTATTTCGAACAGCTCGTATAAGTGGAATCATGCAGTATTTGTCCTTCTGTGACTAGCTTATTTTACCAAGAAAAATGTCCTGAAGGCTCATCCATGTCATAGCAAATGACAGGATTTCCTTCATTTTCAAGGCTGTATAATATTCCACTGTGGGTATGTACCACATTTCCTTTATCCATTCATATGTCGATGAACATTTAGTTTGTCTCCATCTCTTGGCTATTGTGAATAATGTTGCATTGAACATGAAAGTGCTAGTATTCGCGGTCCTGTTGTCAATTCTTTTGGATAAATATTCAGAAGTGGGGTTGCTGAATCATTTGGTAATTCTGTTATTAATTTTTTGAGGAACCTTTAACTGTTTCCCATATCTGCTGCACCATTTTATATTCCCACCAACAGTGCACAGGGGATCTAATTTCTCTATATCCTTGCCAACACTTGATATTTTCTGGGTTTTTGTTTTATTTTTTAATAATTAACAGGTACGATGTGATATCTCATTGTAGTTTCAGTTGGCATCTCCCTGATGATTAGCGATGTTGATTAACGATGTTATTTTCATATACCTGTTGGCCATTTGTATTGTCTTACACCATACATGAAAACCAACTTAAAATGGATTAAAAACTTAATTGTAAGACTTGAAACTATGAAACTTCTAGCAGAAAACCTAGTGGGAAAACTTCATAACATTGGTCTTAGCAATGATTTCTTAGCTATAACATCAAAAGCACAGGCAACAAAAGCAAAAACATAAAAGTAGCACCACATCAAACTAAGAAGCTTCTGTACAGCAAAGGAAACAATCCAAGAACGAAAAGGCAACCTATGGAATGGAGGAAATATTTGCAAACCATATATTTGATAAGGGATTAATACCTAAAACTCTTGTAAAAAGAAAGATTTCTTGTTTATTCTAGGTCAGGAGTCATCAAATTTGTTCTGTAAAGGGCCAGACAGTAAATATTTAGGCTTTGCAGGCCACAGGGTCTCTGTTGCACCTCCTCAGTCCGCTGTTGTAGTGTGTAAGTAGCCATAGACTATGCGAATGGATGGGTGTGGCTGTGTCCCAATAAAACTTTATTTACAAAAACAGACTGGGATGCGTTTGGCCTGTGACCATAGTTTGCTGACCCCTGATCTAGAGCAGAGTTTATCAACCTGGCTATAGTGGCACGTTTTGCTGGACAGTCTTTTGTCATGGAGCTGTCCTGGGCATTGCAAGATGCTTAGCAGTAAGTACTCTTTGCTCTACCCACTGGATGCCAGTAGCAACCCCTTCCCCCCACCTCCTGTCGTGACAACCAAAAAGTCTCCAAACATTTCCAAATGTCCTCTGGGGAACAAAATTGCTGCTAGTTGAAACCTCTTATCTAAATGATTGAAAACATCTGATCGAGTAATAGGAAATATTTCTCTAAAATTACAAAAAGTAGGGTCAGATTGAAGAGTTGAAAATCATGGTATATTTGTCTTAGGTAGGTCAAGGTCTCCTCAAAGGGGCCATTGTCACAATCTTAATTTGGAAAGCAGTTCAAAACCAACTGAAATGGCAACATCCTTGAAAAGTGCCCTGTTAATAATGCAAATATGAACGTAGCCTACTTTTGTGATGGGCACAAGGAACAAAGCAGTTCAACAGTGTTGGCATGTTCTAGTGGGACTTTCTGAGTCTGAGAGTTGGCTGTGAGTTGGAAAGGCTGGGGAAAGCTAGTAGTTCTAATTCTTACTTGGGCAAGTGTTTATTTTTTCTGTTTATCTGCATTCAGAACTAACACAGGGCGATTTTTGAAAGCGCTCATATGTTTTTCATTGTTTGGACAGGGCCAGAGAAAAATGGCCTGATTTCACTGCAAATTGGCAGTAACACATGTTTTTGAAAGTTGAAAACAGCGTAACACTCACGAGCGAATCTCAAAGAATGTTGTCTTCTTGTCCTTTAGAATAAACACCTGTTTTGCAAATGGCAGGGTAAAAGCTATCTTTACCAAGAAATTGTTGTTTTCTTTTTTCTTCATTTGTATAATTATATTTTTAATAAATAAAAAATTTAAGTACAATTGAAAATATTGTAATTTATATAATCATATTTTTAAACAAGCAACAACAGAAAAAAGCAAACCCACATTTCATCAGGAATTTCAATTAAGCCCTTTGAACTAATTTTCTTTTCTGACTTGGAAAGCAAAAAAAAAAATACATTAATGCTTTCCTTCTTTAATAAAATTTTCTGTAGTGAAATGTATTTTCTAATTGATATGAAGGAAAAGTATGGTTCTCATGCTTGGAAGGAGCTGTTTGCCACTCCCTTGCTGTAAATCCTGCCACGCTGTGTCCAACGGCCACCGCAGGCACACTCAGTGACCAGGTCTCCCCAGCGCAAGAACCGCTGGACACATAATGATGAGATCATCCGGTGGATAAATGGGATGAACTCATTTTATACTTGGAATCAAGAAAAAGTGTGGTAAGAACAGGCTCTTTCTTCATAGCCTCCCCTCAAATCCACATTTCAAGTTTTCCCCAGGAAACCCCGCTCCTGAAATCCCGTCTGCCTGTGCCGTACTTTCCCATGAGTATGCAGCCGCCTTCCTTGTGTGCCGGTCAGGTCAGTGTGGGTGTTAAATGGGACGCATGTCACAGCGGGCCTTTCTCTCTGTCCCTCAGGCTACCACGGCCTCTACTGCGAAGAGGAGTATAACGAGTGCCTCTCCGCTCCGTGCCTGAATGCTGCCACCTGCAGGGATCTGGTGAACGGCTATGAGTGTGTGTGCCTGGCGGAATACAAAGGTGAGAGAGGCTGCCTGGCCTCCTTGTGCCAGAGTGGCTCTAAATGACATCATGGGTTTCTCAAATGTATAAACCTCTAATTGGAGCATGAATTTGTTTAGAATAAAAGTCAAACGCTGAAGCTGGCATGATTAATGGGTCCAAGGAGACCAATTTGCCAGTCTCAAGTTTCCTCCAGATAGACTGAAAAATCTCTCCTGCCCTTTCCTTCTTCTCGTACCCTCTTCTCTGTTGAATGTGTAAGAAGCTGAAAACAAAGAGTGAAACGAAGGTGGACTGTCAGACACAGGGCAGAGGCCATGCCGTGAAAGACGTGGAAGGGAAAGCCTGTTGCTCTGTAAAGCTTGCCACGCAGGGAGGATGCCGCGCTTTCTGGGGGAGGAGGCAGGTGGAGTCTCACGTAGTGCCAAATACTTTAGCTCGCGTTAAATGACTCTGTTGGGAGGGAAATGTTAGTTCATTTGGATGGACTCGTGTCCGTGTCACTCTGGAAAAACAGCTGACGTTGAGAGAGTCTTTATAATGTGCAGACCCTGTCCTCCCCGCTAATGTGCATTAGCTCATTAAATCCTCCTGTCAGCCCCACGAGGCGGACGGTAGTGCTGTCCCTCGCAGCCTGGTCAGCACGGTTCCCAAAGCCCTTTCTCCCTGCCTCTCCACTGGCCTCTGGCCATGATTCGTGGATGGTGTGGCTACATCGAGCCCAGACACTCTCATATGGTGCTGGGCCAAGAGAGTCTGCTTATCAGCCATTGCACACATTTCTCTAAGCCCTAAATTCAGGGCTGAGTTGAGATTTTGTAATGCTTTTGTGGGCTCTATTTATAGCCATTTCACTTAACCTCTTGGCCCATCACTGCCTACTTGATACCATCCGCCTGCCTGGTGACCTTGCATTGTGACCGCTGTCGCTTCTCTTTGGATAGACCCACCTTTATTTGGTGACCTTTTGGACAAGCTTTGAGGCCTTACAGGCTACACCGAGGAACCTGATCCACCCCTGGAAGGAAGGGCTGATGCCAGGCAAGTCTTTATGCCCAGCAGCTCTGGTGCTGCTTTTGGACTGTGCTGCTCATTTAGAACTAAACTCAATTTCCACGAGGGCGTGAGAGCAGACGTGCTGGCTTCATCCTTGTGGTTCCTCAGCTCCGGGTCTATCAGAGCATTGGGAAATAGGAAGTTAGTTCACTTCTGGAAGGAAGAATAAAGGAGCAATGACCCAGGAGACCTGGGCAGCTTATCCTGATCGTGCCACTGGCTTCCTGCTGAGCCTGGGCAGATCTCTCAAACTGACTGTCTTCATGTTCTCCGTATGAAGTAAGGACAATGACGCTTACAGAGATTTTGAGATTTATTCAATAATAACAGAATTAGTAACGGTGATTGTGCTTAAAAAATTAAAAATGCCAAAATTCTTTATCATAAATTTTATGAAACAGATTTCATCTCTATAAATGACAAAATTATTAGCTGGATATATTCCGAATAATGCCTCTTACTTTCTGTCTTTGAACCTTTGCTCCTGCTATCATTACTAAGAAATAAAAAATACCATTGCAGATGATGACTCACTAGTTAGTGCCTTTGCAAATTCATAAGACTGTGATCCTAGCCTTTTTCCATTTTCTTCCCTTTTTCTCAATGGGCATTTCAAAATTTTGCTACTTCCCCCAAGCCCCATATTGAATCACTCCTAGAATATAACTGACTTCATCTCCATCTTCATGGGATAAAAAAGAGTTATCATTTGTAGACATCTTTGAATTTATCTAATTTTCCACACCCTGAAGCAGTGGTTCTTAAACATGAACGTGCATCAGAATCTGTTGGTAGGCTTGTTAAAACATAGATTACCGGGGCCCACCCTAACAGCTTCTAATTCACTAGGTCTGGGGTGGGACCCAGGAATCTGAATTTCTGGTAAGTTCTCAGGTAATACTGACGTGCTTGTCCATGGGTCACCCTTGGAGAACTCTTGCTCTACAAACTTATTTTCAGTCACAGCCACTACAACTTTATTCTCTTCTGTATCAGCTGATCATGTTCTCCCTGTCCTACTGAAAGTTAATCCTTTCCTATATGCTCTCAATTCTCCACCCTCCATCTTTCTGAGACCTTTCTCTAGCCGTTGCCTTTCTCCCTGCATGTCTTCAACCTCTTTCTTTCTCCTTGCGCCTTTCCTTCACCATATAAATATGTTCCTGCAACTCTTCCTCTGAGAAAAAGAAGATTCTAGGAAGATGGCAGCTCACATTCACATTCAACATCCCTGATCCCTCCTGGCTCTCTGCTGGGGATGACCCAAGAAGAGGGGATTTCACATCTGAGGATTTGGGGTCTAAAGAGAAGGGTGCAGGTGCGGGGAGCCTTTGCTTACAGCAGGAGTAGGGAATGAGGGTTGCAGGTGTTGAGCCCAGAGGACTCCCTCCGCGTATGGAGAAGAAATACATGCTGCGAATGTGCAGCGTGTGCCCCTAGGAGGCAGAGGGTCCTACTGATCTCACGGATACTGGCTGTCCTCAAAGGGAATCTCACGGTTGGGCTGATCTGGTCCTTTCATTTTTTTGTGGCCCCGAGAAAGCCAAACTGGGAGGTTTCTGTCTACCTTTAGTAGACGACCCAGTTGGCTGGCCCGTCCAGCCCTGGAGGGGGAATCTCTGGTGTTGTGTGTCTCTCCCCAGATTCCTACCTTCTAGCCCAGCCGGGACAGCAGGCCCGTGCGAGCAACTCAAAGAGGCAGAAAAGTTTTAGGAAATAAAAACAAAATTGTAACAACAACTCTAAACACTCAAGAGAGAAGTGAAAAAAGTAATGTATACTACTCCAAATTGAATTTGGAACAGGAAAGGAGGAAGGGGGAACTATCTCACGATAGACATGGAAATATGAGGAAGTGGAAACCACGAGTGAAAAGATAGGAAATGCGGAGCAAAGAGCAGAGAGATCTGTTTCCGTCTGAGCAGTGAAAGCTCCAGAAGAAGGAGCACATGGAAATAAAACCAGAATCAACTAGCTGCTAGAAGGAGCAGTCTGTGAGCCGAAGAAAATCTCGCTTTCAAATAGAATGAGCTCACAGGGCGGCAGAGGGATCAATGCAGGAGAGGATACACACTTTGAGCTTTCCTGGTAAAATTTCTAACTGCAAAGATAAAGAGAAAATCTTACAAGATTCTTCACGGGGCACAGGTTACATGAAAAAGAAAGAACATCAAACCAGCTTTGTCTTGCTTGTCTCTGTACTGAAGGTAAACAATAGTTGAGCAGTGTTTCAGGCTTTTAAGTGGAAAGGTCTGGGAGTAAAAGGATCGTTTGTATTTGAGGGCAAGAGACAGACATTGCTATACGTTCAAGGACACACAAAGCATAACACCACACACCTTCTCTAAGAGAATCATTTAAAAAATATGCTCACCAAATAGGAACTAAATCAGAATGAAGATATCTGGATGGGGAAGATGGAGAATGGGAGGAAGGGTTGGGCAGCCTGTTAAATGCAGGGATAAACATAAATAGATGACACCAATATGACTGTGAATGGTAATTTCATGGTGAAGGAAAGTCTCTTGAAAAAAATAGGTATACCTGCCTTACGAGTTAGCCATTGCTGCGTAACAAATTATTACACGTTAGTGGCTTAAAACGGCACCCTTTTATTATCTAACAGTTTTGTAGGTCCAGGCGTGGTTTAGTGGATTCCTGGCTTGGGCTCTCACGAGGTTGAAGCAAGGTGCTGGCTGGGCTGAGCTCTCATCTGGGGCTCGAATAGTGAAGGAGCACCTTCCCAGTCCCCTCAGGTTATCGGCAGGATTCACATCCTTGTGGCTGTAGAATTCACAGCAGCCTACTTCACGATGCCAACAACCATGACAGAGTCCTGCTGCTTCATGTATCTAACCTCAGGGAAGGCCTAGACCCTGTTAATGGTCTCACCTGATTAGGTTGGGCTCTGGATGAAGTCAAAGTCAATTGATTAGAGACCTTAATTACATCTTTAAAACCTCTTAACTGCCATATATTCTTGGTTAGATGCTCATATTAAGGGACAGGAATTACACGTGGGTGTGACTCACTGAGGGGGGGGGGTCACCCTATGGAGTGTCCAACACTCCTGCTCTTAAGGAAAAATTTAAAAAACAAACTAGATTCATATTATTTTATACTTACATTATTCGAATTGGAAGGGGGTGGGGATAGGAAGGATTGGAAGGCATACAAATGTGTTAAAGGTTTCATTCCAATGGGCAGGTAAAATGTTTATTTAATTTTAGTATATTTATGAAGACATTTAGGTTTAGGCTTAAATAAGGCTGCTGAAAACAGGAAGGCAAACCCCATCAATGTAGCAATAAATGGTAGAACGTCTAAGAGTGGTGGGGAGGTGGGAGGGTGGGGTGGGGGGGTAGGTAGAAGGAACAAAACGAGACAGAAGGAGCTAGATCCTGCTCTCCAGGACAGAGGAAGAGTGAGGGGAGGGGAGAGCCACAAGAGCCTGTGCTTTTCTCTGCTTAGGGGGATGGACATTCTCCCCCCTTTGGAAGCATTTCCACCAACATTTATTTAGACATAGAATGTATAAATTTAGGAAACTATCAGATGGGTAGGCATCAATTCCTAAACTAGTGTGGATCTGGAGTTAGCACTTGGATAGGTAGTATGTTATGGGTAGGGTTGGCTTTAACTTTTTACTTTACATATATAGTTTTTAAATGGTGATTTCTACTGTTTTATGTTTTTTTAAAAAAACTTAAATAAATACAACCTCCTAAGAATAAGTGCAAGAGGAAGTCAGGCAATTATGGCTAAGAACATTTTTTGAGAAAGGAAAGCGGTGAGGGGGAACTTCTGCCGGATGTTAGAATGCATTATAATGCCACAGTTATTATGACATTCACACATTACAGGCGAAAGGATGTACAATCAGAACTAAAGAATAGCCCCCAAACCATTATCTATAATAATAATGTATGACTCTTAAAAAGGAATTACTATGAATAAGAAAG